TCATAACAAACGAATTACTATTTATAACGTTTCATACAAATTATTCTAATGGAGAGAAGTAGCCTGCGTGTAGCTTTATCTCGGGTTATCTCGGGTTATCTTGGGTTAAGCATGGAGCTCTATGGTTACAGTGAAGCGCGATCTGCACAGGAAGATCCACAATGTTTACCTCAGTACACAGCGCGCACGCCCCACTGTATCCGTTCAGTGATGTCACTGCATATCATGAATAAATAATAGCAACAGATTAGCTGCAAATACGACCAGTCTGTGGTGGTTTCGCGTTCACCCCACCTTTCGCAAAACTATTTTTCCAACTTTTTTTAACTGAAAAAAAAATCGCCACAGCTGGGCCAGTCTAGCCTTATAAACAGTAACTATTCAGCGGATAAGATTTAACAAAATCACCCCTCCCCCCTCCTTCTATTGAAACACGCACTTTGGTTCGCAATAAGTCTTAATCCTGCTAACGTCTTCACTTTTAGTAACTGAAACTGCATTCTTCGAAAAAATATTACTGCGAAATCGAGTTTTATTATGCAAAATTCCAGTTCAAATATAAGAACAGTTAATCTTTGGATACACCTTGCCCTCCATATAATAGGACAAGTGTTTTTGTTTTCAGTAAATAAAAGAGTGTGACCGCTTGAACCAATACTGTGTTCATATACCGCTTACATCCACGTCAACATGCAGAAAGTTTAGATGTAATATATATATATACCTTTGAGATTAATATAACAATTAGTTATATTTTTTTAGTATTCATTCTTGAATTGCATAAACTGTGCACAATTTTACACAATTGCTGGATTTATAAATCAGATAAAAAAAAAACTAGGGAATCCATTAATCACTATCTGGTTATCATCTGTGAACACATATAACGAGTGGTTCTATTTTTTTTGATCGTGGTCATTTAGTTTACGACACATTTGTGATCATTCAGACTCGATAGTGAGATATTCTGCGGTTGGTTATTTGATGTCAGATTTGCGATAATCGTTCCTAAAGGCGGGTTATGTACAAAACATTACAGATTAGCAAAAAAGACTAGTCTCAAACCCTCTGGACCGTTCATTTGTACATTTCCAAATCCAGGGACATATTGGTATTAATGTTGTTGCTTAGCAATTGCTTACCATTTATGACAACATATCGTTAATGCATTGTTAATATGCTAATACTCATCCGAGATATATTATAAACGTTTGGTGATCCATGATCATACAAGTCCAGGGACTGGTTTTATTTACTGCTCACTGATATTATGTTTCAATTATGAACAGAATTCATCCATCATCCACGGTAAATATTCTTCATTTTTCATTTTGAAAGTACGTATTCGCGACAACACTCGAATAATGTATTTATTCAGAAGGGTTTTGTATATACGTTTGAAACGCACCAGTATCTCTTCATCGGGTTAGTAAATGATGTTTTTTTTAAGTATACACAATCTGCGGACAATATCTGATTTATGTTAAACTTTTATTCCAGCCGAGCGTGGGAAACATTGGGGGTAGAGCAGCGCGAATTGCAGTTGGAATTACTACGACCATCACTGCCCTTGGGATTGCTGGTACTGTGATTGGTGTGGTGGGACCAGGGAAATCAACTAACATCACGTCGGAATCAGAGACGGGGTCACAGATTGGAAATCGAGGTATAAGTATTTACACTAGTTGTCATTGGCTAACATTCGGTGCTACTTTGGTTTTATGTAATATAACAACTGAGAAACATTGAGTTAATTTATGTGAAGGTAGCCTGCCAAAAAAACTGTCAACCGACAATTTACCGATAAAAAACTAACTACCACTACAAATAGTGAACATAGTCCATGTCTCATAGCGCTAGGCTGAGGAGACATTAGAGGACCGAACATTATAATTTGGCTTGGAACAATTGTCAGGAAAAAGTTATGAACATAAGAGAATATATACAACAATGTCGCCAGTTCTCCGTTTTGATTTAAATCACAAAACAAATCGATATTCCTCAGTAACGCATTATACGTAACAATCACTAGTTAGAATGAAATATGCATTCACGCGAAACGGCTGGTCACATGTTAAAATTGTGCGATTTAAGAAGATGGCCGCCTGTCGGCTATATTTGAAATCTCAAAATAACTGCTAAAATCATTCAAATAAATCCATCATTCAATTCTGAATAAAATTTGCCTACACATGCCTGAGAAATTGACATCCTCGAATAAGTTTTGTCAGTCGGTCACAAGACAACGAAACAAAAAGTTAATGAACGTATGCTCTTATGATTCGTGTCAGCGCCAATATGAACAAAATCGGTCAATGCATGTCCGAGAAATGACGTTTAAAGAACGGACAGAAAATCTTTTTCGGACTACATTTTAGGGGCCCCATATTAATTCCACGCCGCACCATTTGTCTGACGTTACTTCATACGTGATTTTATTTCAGTTGTTTCACCATGTGGTGCAGAAACCTGTCTGAATGGTGGGACGTGCAACGGCACCCTTGAGCTTTACACCTGTGATTGCATGGCGGGATTCAGTGGCATCAACTGCGAAATCGATAAGTTTGAAGATCGTTCAAATATGTCTACATAGATCAATACATATTATCTATATATTAAATATATATAACCCGTTTGATAATATAACAATATATGTTTTTTGAAGAATGGTGCTGAAGTTACAATAATTTACCGGCATGTGTCACCTAATATTACAGGATTAAGTTTGAGATGCCGCTCCAGCCAAATTGAATAGTTGATGATGAATACTCACTCTACTTCCCCAACACCAGTCCTTGTACATTAATTATACATGGTGGCCAAATTACATATTAAATTCCAGATTTGCAAAAAGCAAACTTCGTTTCAACAATCTGTAGCTGGTGTTGGCGAATACAGTTACCTATTTATTAAAGTGTGGTACCAAGAGACTATGAGACGTAGTATGACATTTGTCAGTTGTCTAAAGTGGTTTTGATTGGCTAACAAACGCATTTGGACCTCGTTCTGCGCACACACGTACTATAACATGTCAGAATGTAATTCTATTGAATACGTCATACTAGTTGGCCTATGCACTCTATTGTATACAATTTCCTAATAACATGCAATGACACCAAACATTGCTTACTTTCGAGAATTTGCTTGAAGTTTTCTTTATGCTGGCTAACACATTAAGATATCCTGTTTTAGTTATACTCTTTGTGGAACGGGTACGAATTTGCGACCCGAGGTTGTACAGCGGTTGTAGCCATGGGACCGAGGGTACAAAACCTTATTGGTTGAATTAGAAAAATGCATTTATTTCGAGTTATTGGTGTTCTAATTTTTGTCATTTATTTCACATGTGTATGTGTGTTGAAAAAACATGATTTTCGGATTTGTTTTTGATGTATTGTATTATAATCGTTCAGCAAAGTAAGTCTTTCTGTTTTTATTGCAATAGATATTAACGAATGTGAAGACGGGCCTTGTCAAAATGGTGGCACATGTGACGACCTTATCAACAGTTACCTTTGCGATTGTCAAGTCGGATATGAAGGAATCCACTGTGAAATACGTACGATCATGTTTGAATAATTACTTTCTGTAAGGCGTGTCATGCCTAAAATGGCCCTGCCGTCAGAACTGCGTACGCTACGGTTCCAATATTGCCCCTATGTTCCCAGAATACATACAATACATGCATTTCACTAAGCACAGATAAAACACATGCGTTGTTTTGAGAGCAGGGTCGTTATAAACAGCGGTGAACGATGCACCACGCATGAGCGAGTTATGGATTCCATGTTGAAAAAAGATGGCGAATTGATCAGTGCGCAGATCAACCCTGTACAAAGAAGTGTCTATAACAAAAATTAACTAAGTAATTTTATTGTATGGTTGAAACGCATTTAGTGCACAGTGCGATCAAACGAAAACTCATATTAATGCTTGCTTGTATTCGCTTGTGCTAAAAATACAACAACTCAACAAAAATCGCACACATGCGTGGCACAACAACCACCACCTAACCCATCTATAATAATATAATTTTGAATCATATCACTGACTGTCAACATCAAAGTATGTTCAATATGTACATTTAAAATTTTTCAGCAAATAGTATATGTATTATTGACAACCCTTGTCTAAATGGTGGGACGTGCACAATCGAAGCCGTGGGCTACACATGTGAATGCTTTCCAGATTTCGTAGGCATAAATTGTGAAATCGGTAAGTTCATTTGCGTCAACTCAAGTCATTAGCCAAGGCACCAAGCCAAGTACTGGGATTAGTACTTCCTCGTGGGCATAGTTTCTATGTCTTATAAATCCAAACGTTGTTATTCATATTTGTTCATGTTTTTTGTTCACCACTATACAGTCGGTTTCGTGTCTTGCTTCTCCTTTGCCATTCCAAGTTCACTGCCCTGTCCTAGTGTGTAGTTTGTGTATATGCCAAGGTAATAAAAGAATACAGATTATCGTGAATGTCGCGATCGAACTGACGATTGGTTGCAGGTGCGCATCGTGGAGAGAATAAAAAAAAACACGACGGCAAGGAAAAAATCATATACCTTACATAAATCGGTAGCAGTGAGCCGGTTTTCGAAATTCTGGTATTTTATTCCCAAATGTACATACAATTGAGAGTTCCTACATCATATAATAGCTATTAAACAATCGTGATATAATTATTGGTAATTCTGAAAGCATTTACAAATTAAAACGTGTAGTTGGACATATTCCAGCTAGTCAGAAATGTACCTTGTATGTGCATTTAAAGGCAGATTTCATGACTGCTACAGAGTTATTTACTATGTGCTTTAAGTGCACTACAATCCTGGTGTGTTATTACATTCAAGCTAGCGGACAAGTTATTCACGACGTGCATTCCCAATTGTGTGCTTAGTGTATATAATTTTTGCCAGAATCATCTGTGAGCCATAATATGTTTTGGAATAAATCCCAGCTAAGGCTATTTTAAAACCTGTTGTCATATGTAGTTTTACAATTAAATACCTTATTATTATTGGATTATACTCAAAATGGTAATTAAATACGAGCTTCAAGCACTTTATATAAAATGGTCTTCTTGTGTAGATATATATTTCACTCCAGGTTTGCCGACCAATCACTCGACTGATTTAGTGACTATAACACAATACAGCTCTCATGAAAATTATGTGGGTAACCATGACCTAACCAGTTGCGTTACAAGTAATTGTACGTCACGGGATGTTTTCGACATGCATTTAAAAACGTGGCTCATATAACTTTGATGATGATACACTCAAATAACATTGCCAGGCTACAACAACACCAAACCGTTGATGAGGGTTGGGAAATGTCATCCTTTCAAAGGCAGAAAAAAAATCACCATATCACATGAACATCGTTCGCACTCACGTCATTGCGAAGGACAACGTCAAGTCAGCATACCATATTTCAGATATTTCAGACTCATTTATCTATGTGTCTCTAGGTTGTTTTTAAATTATTCGAATTATCACTCCAATTGCCAAAATGGTACCCGAATTATGACAGTTTCTGAATAAACAACCCCTTATTAAGCACACTTCTTTTACCGTCTACTATCGCCTCTACCACACCACCACCACGCTATGTGTGCGCTTTCAACACACAATGTGTCATCTGCGTACACTTTTCATGTCAGACTTGAATTATCATTTTATAGATTTGAACGTAGATGACTGCTATCCAGGTGCTTGCTATGGTGGACTTTGCATTGATGGTATCGGCACATTCTCTTGTGATTGCGCAGCCGCAGGTAAGTTTAACGTCTTTCATATCAACATTTTAAAATTAATATCTGAAGGATATAGTTCTTATTTCGTATGTTGATGAATTGACAATCTGGAATACACACTTGTTGACCTACTTTGACGGAAAATTCATTTTGATTGGAGAGTTTAGTGATGTGGTAGTTACTGTAGTCGGTTGAGATGGCAGTTTACGGGAGCTAGCATTATGTGCCTTTCAAGTCTACAGGACTCCAAACAAGACAGTGTTGAATGTAAAGAATAGATAACAAAGTTCCGTATGTAAGTTTTAGACTATTGCGTATATGCAATAAATTGACTGTTACAATGTTTAAAGTAAATAGTGTACACATATTTAGTCCAACTGAGCTTGAAGAACTCTCCGTCTCACAAGTAAAATAATTATGACCGTGTGTCATGAATGGGTTATGGATTATTGGTTGTTTCGATTGAACAGTCATTCACTGTAACTCCCCACTTAGAAAGTAGCAAAGTACAATGAACAATGGAGAAATACGACCTCGTTATGTTTCGTGAGGTTGTACGCACATAACGTAGGGCTGATGTAGTACCAATACCACGGTATGGCGAATTGTTCCGCTTACACTCGCTTTGCATCAGATAGGCAGTGGGTTAAATTCTCCCGGCCAAGTGCTCACACAGGAATATAAGCTACCACACCTGCTGAAACCATCAAACACTAATATGGCCACAGATATTTACAACTGTTATGGTGTTTACAATAATTTCTCAAGGCCTCGTTCGGGCAATAAACAACTTTACGTGTTCTATGGTAAAGACTCGCAATCGTTACAAAGGTTATAGTGCAACTCACATAATGGCATTTGTGCGGGAGCAGCAATATGTATTGTACCCATGGAAACTATTCTCTGTAAATAATCTTTGAAGAAAAGTAAAGAATGCCATCGAGGCTTTAATGTCAAGGGCATGATAACGTCATATGAACATTATTCATTGATAATAGGCAAATATACTAGTCGAAACATCGGTGTGACTAAACATCCCTGGGCACTCGTGGCCTTGACCACTCTCATACACAAACCAGCTTAACAAATAATGCTGTGTTTGAATCGACAAGCCGATTTCGGTTATGTCAGTGTGGCCTTGTTCGCGCAGTAACCATGGTAATAATGTTGGTTGGCACCAAGGGTGTCACCAACGTACATGTGACCCTTCAATGTTTACAGTTCTGCAGCTTTCATCCAACTCAGTTGTCAGGGAATCTGGCAATCTAAGAACACCTATGACAAACTGTTATGTCACATTAATGAACGAACTTTTAAATGTTACCATATTCTACAGTAAATATTCACAAATGTGTTCAATAATCACATAAAATCTTTATCACTGTCAGACCACCATACATATATTATTATGGTTGTTTTCATATTTTAATTGATTATTTGATTATCAAATGGTTTTAAAATTTATTTATATTATATATGAGAGTAACGCCCCAGTGGCAGACATGGTCATAGAGGGGTTAATTTCGTGTTCTGTAGTTATTTATGTACACACAGCCGCGGACAGTTGGTCGGTGCGTTCCCATTATTGAATTAATCGAGGGAGTGCTTTCAACACACCTAATGACTAGAGTTCCGCAAAGTTGCAACGATGTAAATATTTAAAAAAAAATCATTGCGAGTTTCTTACCGTTACGTTTCGAGAAGAGGTACCATGACACTTTTGGTCGACATATGGCAATTATTGACTACATCGTGGGCGATGGCAGAGACAGAATAAGCGAGCAAGTTTCAATGGATTTTAGACAAATAATGATGTATGGTGTATACTCCCATAATTTATCTTCACTTGCCATGAAATAGGTTATACAGATTTCTGCCAAAATTGAATATAACGCAACTCTAGAGCAATATTTCCAGGGCCCTGTGTGCACTGGTGTTCGCCAAAGAAAAGTAAACGCACCGGTAATTTGCCTGTGCTGGTATAATAATCAAAGTCACACTACAAACCTAGTAGTAGATGTAACAGAATGAACATAATTTTGATGTAAACTGTAATGCGCAACAAAACAATTATTTTATCCAGGCGCATCGTTGAGGAACGTTGCTTTTGATAAATGGGCGATCCAGTCAAGTACCGTCGACACCAACTACGCCGGCAGAGCAGTGGATGGCGTTTTCAATAGTGATATGCTGGCTGGTATGTCATGCTCTTATACGGAAACTGAGGATGATGCACCGAGTTATTGGAAAGTCGATCTAGGAGAGATGTACTGCATCGCCGAGGTGGTCATTTTGAACAGGCAAGACTGTTGCTGTAAGTTGACACTGATGTTCGTCCAAGTGTTCAGTACTAACAGAGATTAGGTGACACATAACAACTGTTAATTCTTTTAATTACTTGAATAGCTGATTGGATGCTTGGGGCACAGGTAGCTGTTTCTGCCACTTACGATTCAACGCCTCAGATATGTGGCAGTGTGGAGGATCCTGATCACGACACAATTATAATTGAATGCCATTTAACTGGTCGCTTTGTTGAAATCGCGTCGACCATACCAGGATATAATCTCAGTTTATGTGAGGTTCAGGTCATGGTCCCAGGTAAGAACACATTTTGTTGTTGTCGTGGTTGTATGGCTTCAGACTCATACATGACGATCGGATTAATAGACCGAGTCAATACACCGCATGATTGACTGATTAGAAGAAAGGTACATGACTGGTAGATTATTATTATTCGTAACTCAAAACGGTGAATCCTAACAATCACTCGATATAAGTTTGAACTTAATAACTACACTTCATTAATACTTTTCAGCATATATTCCAATGTTTGGAAAATAGTTTAAATTAATATTATTTTGAGCATTAACATTTCATACACCATGGCGTAATCGTCTACCGTTATCAGGTTTGGTGAGCGAAGCCACGGTTACATAACACCTTGACTTTGTTCCTTGGCTTTGTAAAGTCATTCCCTTCGCTGATTTGACCATGTACTTGTCAGTTGTTATTTTTTTCATTGTGGCCTGTCATTCGTTTATTTTGTGCTTTTGAATTTTCGTCCGTTGTTTGCGTTCTTGTACTTCTTTTTGTTTACTATGTAAAAAGTTGACAAACCTGAAGAAGATGTTTGGAAGATGTCTCAAGAGTGACTCTGAATATCGAATATCAGAAGTATTAAACTCATGTAGTAATTTCCGTTTGTTTCGAGACTCACTACACCAGTTTAATAAATATGATATTGTCAGACCACTCATGAGATATATTTTCAAATGAAAATTTTCAAAAAGTATTATATTCGAAACCAATAAATATCTGTCATTATTTAAAATTGCCAATACTTCAGCCGTTTCCCTGCGCCATTGCAAATGATATGGTTACACTATATATTTGCATAATAGCTTAGGAAATTACGAAGTGTCAATGACTGCAACCAATTAATGTAATGTGGCCCAAATGATTGAAATTGACACTCGAAAGTACTTGATGGTGTTCAATGCAGTCAACACTGTATATTACAAAAGGTCTATCAGATTTCAAAACATCAGTTTTTCCCATTGAGACTGAAATCCAGGTCATTCTAAAAATGAAGTTTAAAAAGTCACATATGTAAAAGCTTTTACCGAAATCCATGAAATACTTTTATTATTGTACATCTCGTCAGTCACGACGTGGATCCATTTTCACCATACAACAGTGGCTAGAGTTCAATTCGCATATTCACACCCAAGAATAATCAAACCACATTTGTTTGCACAAAATGGCACAAATCGTTACTCAAAACTAAACAGTGGCTGTTCCGCCAAAAATATCAAAGTGTGCGCCACAAGTCATATGACTATTTTCATGTTGCATAATATATCAGTAAGCTGTCAATAGACTTCATTTGAATATCGAAGAGGCCAATAAGTAACCATGACTTTCGTAATAGCGTCCTCTACGTCAAAGGTAAAAGGAAAATTATCTCAACTATAGAGGCCCTCAGTCAAAATAGAAAGATATATTTATAAGCGAAGGTCTGATCTCACATACTAGGCACTCCCATTGTACCCGGCCTACAAACTAAGTTCACTGTGTTTATTTGCACCTCTATGGTATGGTGTGCTCGAAAACAGTTATTGCGGTGACCTTCAAATCTAAGGTTAACGTCCAAGATGGCGACCAAGCCTGTACAACCTAATATAGCTGGTTCCATTTGTGATAGAATATTTGTGAAAGTGGCTAAATATATGTTTTCGTGAACGAAAAAGTTCACGAAATAACATTCATGATGATAAAAGTATTGTCTTTTCAAACTTTAAGATATTCAAAAACATTTGTTGCAAACCACGTTTTATGTATATAACTGATGATCCATTTGTTTGTACAATGGCACTTATTCAGCAACTGGAAGTAAATAGCAATTCCACATTTGGTGACTTGGCAGGAACTATACTGAGGTTGATAATGAAACAGGTTTCCACGAGATGTACAGCATATGTACATATCCAGAAAAATCCAAGGGACTGTGATCAGCAGAAAGCAGCGTTGTCACCGTAATTAGCAATGCACACCAAAAAGTGGGCAAACAGTTTAAAAAGGCCCTTCGAGATTTAAAGAGTCATTGGCTTATTGTAATCGAAAAAAAAAACGATACAAAACGGGGATAACACGCATAATAAAAATTAAACTGTAATCAGTGGAAATGGGTTTTATACGTACAGTATTTACAAAAATTTGCCGAAAATAACAATATTTAATACATAAATGGTTCGTTTCGCTAATTACAGAAATCAGAAATCTGTAGTCAGCGAAACAAGGGTACTCCTCGTATATTATTTACAACTGTTGGACGAAACTCGACCAGTACATTCACCTTTCAGTAGTGTATACAACGGCATTAAACAATTGTCAAAAAATAAAGGAGATGATTTTTAAATTAACAGTAATATTGCGACCAGCTACGCAACGTGCAGCGCTCCGAAGCGTGCCAAAAGGGGTATTAATTTGCATATGACCATCAGTATGGAGGGCTCTCTGGTTCAACCAAGGTCAAAAGATGGGGGCTGCTCTCTTTTACGGACCTTTCTTCCGGTGTAATCACCTTTATTTTTGACAAATGTTCCATGCCGTTGTATACACTGGACTACTAAAGCCAACAGTTTACATAATAACACACATGTAGGACATTTGTTTCGCTGATTACAGATTTCCGATTATCTGTAATTAGCGAAACGAATGATTAACTAAATAAAATATTGTTATTTTCGGCAAATGTTTTATGTCCTTAAATACACTACTGAAAGGTAAATATACAGGTCAAGTTCCGTCCAACAGTGTGTACGTGTACGTGTAAGACCCTTGTTTCGCTGATTACAGATTTCCAATTATTATATACTAGTAGTTACTGTTCATATCGTAATATTAAAACGTGTGTGTTACTTTGACATGTTAGTGTGTGTGCCACACACAATTATTATAAATATTCATAACTAGTAATGATAGCTTTAATTGCCCATTGTGTACTTTATATTGTGCATTTCAAAATAAAAGTCACCCACACTTTCAATTGCAAATTGTTTTTTCTATCTGGCAAATAAATTCAGCAGTTTATAAATATACAGTATATAATACCCTACATTGTATGTATAGGATCAAATAACAGTCATGGAAAACATGGCCCGGCATATAGTTATGGACTGCTCATTGCGCAAATTGTTTGTAAACAATTTGGTATATATTTGTCAATTTGAAGTGAGCAATATTATACATGAATCATTAAAACAGATCCACTATCTAATATCATATAAAATAACTGTTTGTCCTTGTGGTTTGGTGTGGTTGTTTGTCTGACATTGTTTTTCGCTGACATGACTGGAGGAACATCAGGGCGGGTTCGACATGCCCGCAGCAGATGCTTACCCTTCACGTGCACCTGGTCTGACGTATAGCCATTTAAACTAACATTCTAGCATAAGTATTTAACCAGATATGTGTACATTTACCATTCAGTAACCATAATGGACGCCATCTTGAATTTGAAGGTGACCGCAATGATTTTTTTGAGCACACCAAAATAATATTCTTTCTCATAAGACATAGATGCAAAATAATATAATGAACATAGTTTGTAGGGTGGGTACAATGTGACCTGCGATCCAGGCAACCAATGGGAATCAGACCTTCGCTTATTATATGGGAAAAACGTCTGAAAACGAAATCAGGTACTTGTGTGTAAGTTAATGTGATATTGTTAATGCATTCCCCCACTGAATGTGTTGTTGATTTTTTTTGTTAGTTGGACACCCCTGTGAAGATTCAAACGTCTGCCACGGAGGCACATGTGACACACTCGACGACGATAGCTACACTTGCGACTGCGATGATGGTAGGCATTGAGTATTTTCACATGCGCTAACATACGTATTCCGCTTAATATTATTTCGAGGTACAAAATTAGTTTCAGTCTTCTTTGTCCCAATTTTTAAAGACTATAAATTGTTCTAGGTGGTGTACTTGAAAATGTAGCCCTACTTAGATATTCGGAACAAAGTAGTAGCCACGGACCCACCTGGAAGGCCAATGACGGAAATACAAATGGCTACTATTTTTCCGGAAGCTGCTCACATACAGCATTCCATGATTGGGATTCGTGGTGGCGTGTTGACCTCGCCTTTTTACATTGCGTCAAGATGGTAAAAATTTACAACAGACTGGATTGTTGTGGTAAGTATGGATGTGGTAGCTCATATTATATTTATTGGTTTATTTATGTCAATATGCATGTATGATATTGCTACATTTATAACGCCATTACGTTTCAGTGTTATACCTTGGTAAATGCTGTCAACTACACTATAAATGCATTTCGAGATCTTTTGAAAGTTTGAATACAACGAACTAGTCTTCAATAGTGTCCCCATTGGTGAATTCATGGACATGTGTACAGCGCGTTCGGTATATATTGCATAGTACATTATTATTATTAATTGCTATTATCTTTATTGATCATGCGATAATTTTGTGCATTTGAAATTTATTTGTAGACTATTTTTAATTTGCATAATCATGTGTATGGATTGGGATATTCGGAAAGATTATCTTATTAGACTATTGCGAGCTTTGTTCTCAGTAGACGCATTTGTTTTATCTGCATTGGCAAACACATGCGTCTTGCTACTGCAAGTTTCAGCTTAAATACTGATTCACTCAGACACTCGCATGTACGTATTGAGTCACGTCATTTGTGTCATTTCAGGGGAGCGTTTAAATGGTGCTAAGGTTTTCATAGGCCGAAGTATGAACATTGAAGATGCTGAACAGTGTGGGCCAACCGTATCGTATTCCATGACGTACCAGAGCCGGCTAGATTTCAACTGCAATGCCGGAACAATTGGACGTTTCGTTACTGTTCGTGTATACAACCAGGATCAGCTGTCGTTGTGTGAAGTTGAAGTCATGGCAGTTCGTACGTACATCCGTTATTTACATTGTCTTTCTTAGAATAATTCACACAAATGTACAATATGCTTGCGAGGGGTATTTGTTTGATGGTGCATGCTGAAAGCTACATTTTGTATTACTCGATTCGGTTTGATGAAACCATAAATAACGCATGCGCATTGACAGTAATAGTACGTACTACAACAGTCAGTGTACGCATGCGTATTAGTGTTTTTCATTGGCAAAGGATATCTTGCCCATCAAACATTGGTATTGATACTAGGCTTCTCTTTTTGATAACTAGTTAAATGCAGGTTAACACACAAATTCACAATTCTTTTCGATTCAGCAAATGGAAGATTTGAGCTCATCTATGAACAGAAAACGTGGGCTGATGCAAATATTCACTGCGAGAATAATCAAGCTCACTTAGCAAACATACGAAGTCTAGATCACCACGATTACTTGGTTGATTTGATTGTGCAGTCTAGACATGCAGATGAAACTGGTAATATAGAAATATAACTGACGCTTTCAAACGTTATTTTGATTTTCTATGTATAGAGTCGAATGAATGAATGAATGGATGAGTAAGCAACCTAACGCAAGAATGATTGATTGATTAAATAGATAAAAAAAATACTTCAAATACTATCTGGTATACCACGCCTCAATTATTAATATTCAATTTAGATAGAAACATACAGCTTGAATTGTTGAATCTCTATCTATCTCTCTTATCTTACACGTATTCAGATGTGTGGTGGTTTGGTGCACACGTAGACGAAACGGAAGGAGAATTCGTATATCCAGACCAATCACGGATGCGATACAGTAACTGGGACGACTACAGCAGTGCGATGAACGGAAACTGCGCAAGACTGCAGTAAGTTCTATTGGTGATATATGCATAAATATTTAAATGAGCGTTTACCGGAGTCAAATAACCAATCACACGTGGTGGCAATTCACTGTATTAACTTCAAACTTTACTAAAACTTGTTGGTTTCTTTCAAATCACAGAACATCCCAAGGCTATAAATGGGTGGCTGGTGACTGTTCCAATTTGGGTTATTTTATCTGTGAATACTAAAGTAAGTCTACGAATAAACGTGATAGGAAACAATATACTGGTTTCATAGCACTGCGATTATCAAACAAAACAATTACCAAATTTTGAGATTGTACACTAAACTAATAATAATTGTACATTTATCTTTTACAGAAATGGTATGCTCCTTTATCGTATATATAATCATATACTGGTGTCTTGTAACCAGATACAGAACCAGTATAATTGCAGATTGTTGTGTTATTTTTATATTGCAGTGTATATAAAGTTGTTGCATTCGTAATAATAGGTCGATTGGTTGTATTTGTAGTATTGTATATTTATAATACAGTGTGCTGCCAATTGGCTGATCGGTACCACGTGCAGCCCCGGTTATCAGACTAAACAGTCAATGCGTGTTCATTGCATTGTGTTGTGTTGTTTGCATGCAAAAAAAGGAAGATAAATAACCAAATCTAAAACAAAAATATATAAAGGTTTAATAGTCATCTATGTTAATTGCACGGGGAACGCATCAAATTGCATTCCAAGCTCAGTTTGGAGCAGAATCAGCGAATTTCCGGTCCGGTCAAACCCCGGTGGCAGTCATGTTTGTTTTTTATTATTAGAGGACGCTTACGTGCTTAATCATTCCATATTTGGAATTAGCATTTCCTAATATGGCATGATGAAAACGAATACCCCGTAAAATACCGCAGAATTACTTTAACCACACTTTCTGAGTACTCGTTTTTTTTCTATTATCCCCTAGGGCAGGGTCATTGGGATCAAGACCATTCAATAAATGAATCCGTATTATGAATATATACACCAGTATATTCATACAAATAGCTCACACTGAACCATAATGGTTTTACAATTTTACCACTAATAATTAGACATCCATCTCCGGTCTGCAACTGTCATTATTAAGATGCATGATTTGCATTTCTCCGTGCCCCGTGTCATACCACGACTTTCCTCACCTTCCATCACTGACTACCTAGTTAGATATGCCTTGCGGCGATTGGTATAATTGCTGCAGTTTTCACATATTACGCTACGGTTCTATGTTCCTATTACACCTACCATCTTGCAGTGTCAAGCAAACAAATCCGCCTGGAACACAATGTAATTTAATACAATATAATACGACAATTTCTTTATTGAGCCGGATCAGCGCTCCAAGTACCTTATAAACTATTCTCCTCATAAAATATTAAGTTGTATCAATTTGAAGAATGTTCACTCAAAAGTGACGATTTTAGGAAAATCGCTCAACAAACTATGGCTCTGAATTTATTGCCAATATTTCTTTCAAAAGCCTTCTCCCATCGGTTCATACGCACACGGCAGTATCTACTGGAAGATGTCGCATTCTCCGTCCGACTTGTCTTGGTTGGTTCAATAACACAAGCACACGATACTGTGTTAAAAAACAGACATCCAACATGCAATTCAAACTGCGCCAACAAATCATAAAAAAAAACACATTTATGTCAATTGCGTCTTTGGAGATAAACAAATTAGAAAATGTATAAACACCACTACAATTAATGTACTGACGAACACAGCGTAGAAATTTACTTATAGTTGATTAGGGTCCTCAAATTAGGATAATGGTCCGAATCTACCCGGACTACCGGTACCCATATAATGAGGCAGCACTCGGCTATCATTATTATAAAGTGATAACTGTGTTTACATAAGATTCGCCACAACACCTGTATTCTTGTAACTTAAGTTTTCCACGATATAGATGAAATATTGCTGTATTACGAGTATTACGCTGAGAACACATCGATAAATCAGTGGTATTTGGTAATCGTTGTCCTACGTTGAGGGCAATGGCCTTCTGTGGTAACAAATACAACGGATAATTCTCTCTCTCTACCGGGATACATATAACGTGCGTTTGTGTACTGCCGATACATTCGCTCTTCATTACTATATTCTTCAATTGCCCGTTACTGTAAATACATTATTTTAATGTCTACACTTTCATTCTGTAAGCAGTTTTGAATTATACGGATGTCTCATTTTCTACAATAACCAAGGTTGGTTTGTGATCGACAGAAGTTGTTGTTCGCATGGCGTCATTGTCCGTATTAAGCGCTTGGCATCGACCGGCTATTGGCATAAAGCACATGATAAATGCGGCAAATAGAAAACAAAAACCTCCAAGGTAGAAAGTCCACACATACGCACCAGTAGAATCTCGTATTGCACCTTAAAGGGGTAAACAAAATAGACTGTACTAGACACTTACATATGACATGTTTAGCTGACAGAAAACGTTTTCTATTCCAATATGTTATATTGTCGCATTGTCGGCAAACCGATACAAACAAAAACATTACAGAACATATTGTGTTGAATATGTTATCACTAGTTCGTAAAAATGAATAAATATAACTTGATGGTGATTGTTTTCTTCTCACGTGTGCGTTGGCAGCCCACAAAAAACCCACATAGTATGTATAAGGGTTACACAAGTTGAAGTTCATTAATAGAACTTCGAAATTATGTAACGTTCATGTTTTAATCTTCATACCAGATCCAGCAATTTGCTCCCACGAATCCTGTTTTTCTCCCGACGACGTGGCAATTTCACAACAACGAAATGCTTACAACCCTTTTCCCCATACAATCTGCATGTTAATCAGTATGTGTTCATATGACACCATGAGAGATACTTTGTTAGATGCGTGATACAATAACATTATCAAAGTGAAGAAAATAAAATGCGTCATCGATCGAGTTAACTCACCTCCCAAGGCCGGACCAACAAGCATTGCAAGCCCAATACTTGTATGCGATAAAGAATACGTGTACTTAAATTTCTCCACACCGAAATACTGTATGCAGAGAACACTCATCAAAGTAGTTGTGAATCCATTAAATATATCATTAAAAATAACGAGAACAAATTGACCTGAAAAGAAAGAACGACAAATTGTGAATGATTCGAATGTAAAACATGTGTCATGTTTTATTGTTGAGTTTATTTACATTCACCCATAAGTTTATAAGGGTTTAGATTATGTATAGGTCATGAGAAATTTGAGTCCTCCATTTGATTTCAGAAGCCCCCTTCATAATCAAGTACGTCATGCAAATTCAAACATCCAAATGACCCCGAGTTAAGACAAGAATGAAATTATGTTTGATTTGAATATTAGACACTATGACAATATTAGACACCGTGACAATTTCTGGCAAGTGCAGGATAACTTCATTGCACCAACATTTCAGGTTTTGTTGTCGAAGCAACTGATCACACCATTTCTAATGGGAGGTGTTCTACATACAATACGAAGTAGGAATGCAACTTTAAAACTTTTAATTATGCTATATAGTTTTGACATATATTTTTCCCCCACTGGAAACAGTATATGAAGGGTTTCATTGGATATTGCGTGTTAATTTCACTATTTTAAGAATTACCCCTAAGTTATAAAGAACTGGCACGAGGCTTCCTATTAACAACTATTATATACTATATTTAATCCTCGTCAGTAGTATTTATTTTTAACCCCTCCCCCTCATGATAATTGCCCCCTGCCTTGAGTAACAACTTTCAAATTTGTAAAAAAACGTTTTTGAATATGCCGTACTTCAACTGTAATGTTATGTCAATAGATATTAGGTATTTTCAAACAAGTACTAGTTAAATACTCATGGACACACAGTGTATTTGCACATACCGGGGTAGCTGTCGGCATAGATGCTAGCGATCATACATCCTCCACTTAATGCCATGGAAGACTGGTAAAATAATAATCGGTTTACTCCTTTCTGATTGGCAATGATACCAGCTAGTGGGCGACCAATAGTCTGACTGATACCCATTACAGCAACTAGTGATGCAGCGGGAAAGGCTCCAATTCCAAACTCTCTAGCTCGTTTTACCTGGAATTATAAAAGCATCTAACGTTCAACCACACCGTTAGTACGCTGGACTATGGCCAACAAAGTATAAGTGCTTTATTTCATGATCGAGTAATGCCTAACATTTTCAATCGATAGCGCTAGTAGGGCTAAACGTAGTAGAATAATAATTCAATGCAAATCCGTACAGTTTTTGTTTTTTTTTGAAGAAAAACCAAATGGGAGCAAAATGTATATTGCAGTATAAAAATAACCTACCACGTGACCTTTCATAATCATGATTGCAACCCATGATAGGAAAACGCTTAGCTGAAGGAGGTACATTTGGAACAATTTCAACAGTGAAAAACAATAAACCTCGTCAAAAAAATAGTAGATCTGTGATGCCGTACGCCTGATCGATGCAAACTTAGTAGTCCAAACTGATAATGAGATTGGTGTGATTGTAGTGAAATTTCGCTGTTCCACTTCAGTTCTGTCTTCTTGCCGTTTTTCGGTAAGCATTGCAACATCCTCTTCCGTGTTGCGTACAATTAAGGGTCTGAATAACATTCCTGCAACACAGATGTTCAGAGCCATCCCACTCAGAACCATCAATGTACCTCGCCATCCATAAATGTCCAACAGTTTCTGTGTCACCATGGAAAATAAAAATATTCCAAAGCCACTGCCAGATAAAGCGATTCCTGTGGCTGTGGGTAATTTAGTTGTGAAGTACTTGCTCACTATATGAAGAGATACTAAATGAGCACAGCCATAACCAAGACCTAGAGTGGTAAAGTAAATACCAAATGTTAGAGCAAACCAGTAAGGTTACGTGACAACAATGCAATTGTATTTACTATGAATGCAGAAATAACAAAATACGAAAACTGTATCCCAGCATTTGCTTAATTTGCTGATATTCTATCAAACAATTTTGCCAATTGGAAAATGCGTTCTATCAGTTTTAATATCACACGTGTACACGCACTACAAATCCGATTGGTTAACATCTTGGAGTTGAAACTCACCTGTCATTACACCGAAAGTAATATACATCTGAGTTAAACTTGTAGAAAAGGAACTCAGCATCAATGATACTGATGCAATGACGCCACCACATACCACTACAGGGCGATGACCAAAACGATCTGAGAGTGCACCAGTATAGGGATTCACAAGAGCCATTACCATATACGTCAAAGTTCCAACAAGAGCTAATTTGAAAGTAGAATATACTTGGATTTTATGACGTTTCCTAATTCACAACGTGTCATCTAACAAGATCAGAAAGTCTGTTCACATCATCTTGGATGTTTTGATCTGTGTTTTTAGAATACTATATTTTAAAATTACGAACAATAACTTAAACAAGGAAAAGCAGCATACGTCACAGAAGCACTCCACGAATCATCAAAATAAGGTCACGCCTTTAAAAAACCCCATATCATTCCTACTTTTAAAATGATAAAAATATGTTGTAATTGAATCGATGATTATGATTCGGGTCTAGGAGTCTTAGCAACATGTTTATATAATTCATATTATGAACCCACTCACCTGTTTTAGCCCTAGATTCTCCGAAAGCGTCCAATAACGCCACATAAATGACACCGAAGGACATTATGGAACCAGAGGAAAGTGCGTAAACAATGAATGTTCCTGCTACTACTAGCCATCCCCATCCTCCGTCTGGTGGTTTTGTAGTGTACACTCCCATCTATACGTAAACTATTCGTATCTACAGATCAAACAAACAAAAACTGAAATGTTATTCCAATATTTTCCTATGGTACACAGATTGCGATTCCATAATCACAATGTTAGATTGAAATGAAACATCGAACAAATACTGAAATAAATTAATTAAAGCATGCACCATGACAGGAACACACAATCGGTGTTTGTTTGTACAACATAATATCTGGATTTACAACATTATGATATTTGTTTTATTAACAATTTCAAGAGATGTCATAGAAATTGAAATACATTTATCCACAACTACCACAAGGGCATCAATATTTACATTAATAATATATTAGTTCAGCAGTCCATATAGTGACGTTCAATAGCGATATAATTAACTTTATGAGCCAACGTCAATCGCACCTGCCAACTGTGTTGATGCAAATGTGTACACGTGCTCCGAACTTAGTTTCCTATTCATATTAAATTATATCGTATTGGTGTATTTAGTGCCATATTCTCAGTAAATATCAATGCCACAATACAGTGACAGCAACACTGGGAACATGACAGGCGAGAGCAAAAAGTTACATCACATGTAGCTTTTCAATACAGGACCTCGCTTTAGCACACTTCACATCGCGCGCGCACTGGGTAATCATTTTCAAAAGAATATTAAAGTACATCTATCGCATATAGACTATAGCCATGGCTCACAACCGACAGTTGTTGTCTTTATATGTAGGTCCTTGCCAGTAGACTGTAAACAGACTCCAAGTTTTTTGATTGCTACTCTACAAAGTACGACTTGATGTACACATATGTGTATGTAAATATGTTGAAATTAGTTTACCTCGTATTGGGGCAGTCAATTAGATAATTGTTATTTACATTTACTTTATACTCCAACTCCGAATTAAATTGTGTATTAATACCCAGTAAATTAATTAACTAGTTATACAGTGGTTACAACGTGATAAATTACGCTATTTATAGAAATAAACAGCTGCACTTATACAAGTCATATAATAGTCATTGATTAAACAATAATGGACGAACTAGTATACTTGAGTCCATCATGTGTTGGTGGGAGTTCATTATTATTTTCAACATTTTGTAGTGTTGTCAATATCAGTGGATTTGCTGCCACTATAAAGCAGAAAACGTGGAGAAAAATTAACAGTGAAACACACTAGTTTCACAGTCACTGGCTCATTTTTGAAATTTTGAAGTTTTCACAATCTCATACATCTTGAATTTTCAAGGTGAATGTTCCGGCAAAGCACTTCACTGTCACATTGAAGTATTTCATTAGGACTGTCATGAATTTGTTTTCGCGTATCTGTCGAACGACTTAATTAGTTGATTATTAGCTGAATTGCTGTGTTATGTCTGTCATCGTTTAGGCCTATTTGAAGTTTTGGACGGAACTTGGCTCAGTGATTTGGAACTAATTACCAGATAACCGTTGCTATTCTGACTATTGATTCTGACAGTTGGTATTCGTAGTTATTAATGTAGTGAACGATTAATCAAAATATATGACGTATTCAGTACTTAGTGTGATTGGCTTTATGATTGAAGGTTACGCCCTAGAGTCTTTTCACTGTTTTGTAATTGGTTAGAGTTTTGAAAATGAATAAAGTTGTTTTAGTTGGTCTTGGGGGGCACAGCACGATAGACGCAGTCGAGTCCAGTCCTGGGGAGAGCCTTGAGGCAGTCCAGTCTTGGGCTAGTCTTGGGTCAGCCTTGCGATAGTCTTGGGGATTTTTTCCCCAGGGCGCCGTGTCTTATAGAGTGCTCCACAGACCGACTAAGACGAGAGCTGAAACGTATTTCGCTGTGTGTGTCTTATTTGACTGTAAAGCTTAAGTGACTTTCCTGATCCCGTACCTCAAGGGGACGCGATAAAGAGACGAGACGAGATTCCCCCCTGACACGTGTGGAGAACCCAGAGGAGAAGAATTTATCCCCGTGATACGTTTTGGATGAACCCGGGCAGGTGTTTAACACACATTGACATCCTGTGAAGAATAGTGAAATGGTGAAGGTGTGTCTTTCTTGTGAACCGAACTAACAGCTCCATGGCAGAGATGACTAAGAAACCGCGCTTGACGACTAACACCGTTAACAGTATGGCACCGATGAAAGACGTTGAAGAGATGAAGACTTCTGAACCCCTTATGAAGGACGAGTACCGAATAGGACTGTATAATTAAGAATTGAGCGACATTGAAGACGATAAAGAACGACCCGGGCTAATGCGACGAAAGAAGAAGACGCTATATAGACTTTGATTAGAACTTTAGCTATCTGTGTATTGCTTAGAGAACCGCTCGTTGGACACTGTAATGGACACTGTAACTTAAGACGTTGAACTCTTTTTCACATCACAACACTATTGCTCAGTAATGTAATGTATAGCTGGTTTTTTCTATTGTTCTTACCGTTGTTTTTTTTGTGATGTTGAATTGTATGTTATGTAAGCGCCCAGATCTTTGTTTTGAACTGATATTTAGTGACGTGCGAGGTCCTTTATAACGATTTAAGCGCGCCTCAGTGGACAAGTATTTGCAACACAGTATTTTGAGTTTTGTGAAGTTTTATGGTGTTTTAAGGCAGAGATGCAGTTTATTTGGCTTGCTTTTTAATTGAGTAATTAGACAATGAAGATGGTATTATATATCCAACATGTTATATATTTTCTGAAAGCTTATTATACAAACTTTGTAAAACTTGTCTTTATTTTAAATATCCAGAATGCGTTTTTGATTTTGGGTCAAAAATATGCTTTTTTGGACAAAAGTGGTTTAAAAAAAATTAGCTTAAAAACTTCAAGTCTGTTTGTGGGTAAAATTACATCACTGGATACCTTGGTATACTACTAATTCAAATGCGTCCACTCATCTCTCTAACGGCTTTCAAAGTCGCACAGCATGACCTCAAAGTTCACTCTTTTCTATTTTTGCATAATTTATATATCCATTTTAACTGCGGAC